ACTTTAGAAAGAGTTACAATGTACTATAGTAAATGCTAAATATTCCTCAAACTTACGCTGTAATGCATACAATAACACCATGGTTTCAAAGGGAAAAAAACATAAATGCATACAAAGCTGGGATGCAGTTCATTGCCAAATACATGAATTTAATCAACTTTGTATCACAGCAGAAATTTAAAACACAGATATTAGCTAATGGGAAATAAATGATTAAGGAGGTTGAGCAGGGTCACAGAATCACGGGGTGGGGGCAGGGGTGATTAGTCAGCTATTAAGATGATACATTTAGCCAGTCTATAAAGGATACGTTTGTTAAAAATAGCAAAGATTGAATAATTAAAATGGGACGTAACAAACGATGAGAAATTTACCTTCAATGTTGCGGGAAATTTCACTACCATGTAAACGTGTCCCACCAATGCAGGTGCTATTAGCTTTGGAGAGACGGTGCAGTCATGGTCCTGAAAGAAGGAAGCGAAAGGAGGCATGCCTTGAAATCTCACAATGCAGGAAATGATCGGAAATGGAGGCCAAATGCCCTTCAGTCTCTCCACTGTCTTCTCACCGAATATAACGAAGATAACGCCCTTAAGATTTTCACTGCGATGAACTGATTGTTCTGAAAAACCAAAGAGGTTTTCCAGTGTATTTTTTCACCTTTCAAAAATGCTTATGGAATCAGGAAAAGCAACTGTTTACCTAAGCCCCCCAGGGTCTCAGGAGTTATTAAGTGGTAGTCAGAGTAAGGGGAGTCAAGCTGATTAACATTCAGCCCAGGGGGTCCCATTCAGCCAACTCAAAAGACTGTTTATCTGCCACTTACCATATGCTGAGGGCTGACTAAGGTCTTGTGGGTAAAGTGTGTGACCAGATGAGGATCCTGCCCTTAGAGATTGAGAGCAAAATCTGCCCTAGAATTTGAGATAAAGCATGTCACTGTTAAACAAGACCACTGTAGACAGTAATAAGTGCTAACAAGAAAATAAAATTCTGGTAGATATTCCCTTGGCATAGAGTGATCAGGGCAGACCTCTCTGGAGAGGTGATATTAGACCCTTGGAAATCTGAGTGAAAACAAGGCCATAGATCCACACAGGGCTTCAGTTTCCAAAGCATTTTCACTCATATGCCCTCGTGTTGTATACAAGTCCTTAAGCCAATCTTGTAAAGTAAGCAGGGCTGACACGTGGGGTTCCCATCTTGTAGCAGAGGAGCCCAAGGCTCAAAGAGGTTAAATTAATTGTCAAGGTCTTTCCAAGAAAGAAGAGAGCCTGTATTGACTCATATCTCCTGGGCGCTGTTCCTACCTAGTCTTTAGATCCCACACCAGTGTTCTTTCTAGATATGGATACCGTTCACCAAATCATATTGCATTCAGAGGCTGAGCGTGTAATCTATGACCTGCAAGGTGAGTTTCTTCTGCTTGAAATTTAGACTTTACAGAATCGTGGTGGTAACTCTAACCTGAAGGTCCAGGACCTAAGCAGAACCTGGGCCATGGAAACCATTTCTTCAGCAGCTGTGCAAACCAGACCGGGGCTGGCTTTTTATTTTTAAGTTTATTTTTAAGTTTACTTATTTTGAGAGAGAGAGAGAGAGAGAATCTCAAGCAAGCTCCATGCTATCAGTGCAGAGCCTCATGTAAGGCTCAAACTCAGGAACCGTGAGATCATGACCTGAGCCAAAACTAAGAGCCTTAACTTGCAGAGTTACCCAGGAACCCCCTCCCTGCCCCCAGGACTGGCTTTTTACAGTGATTTTATTGACAGTTAACACTCACGAGGTGGAGATGTGTCCAGAATTGAGTTTGGCTCTTCCAAGAAGATGAGAATTTCCATGAGAAGGGAGGAAAGCACTCACTGTCACCAGGAGCCCTCTCTACAACTAATGGGACATTTCAGTAATTACCTTTTAAACTGCTGTGTCTTTGGTACAAGTGTAGCAGGACTTCCCACCTGATGTAGGAAGTACTTTAGGATGACTAAAGCACACCTGCAAACTCAGGACACTTGAATAACAGAAAGCCACTAGAAATTGAGCACATTTTCTGTTGCTCTGCCCTGTCACTTAATTCCTGATAAGGAAGTCAGAAATGAGCTGTAATATAAAGTCAGCCGAGAAAAACTAAATCTCACCATGTTTAGGTGTTGAACTACTAACTGTATCTGTTTTAGAGTATTCTAACTCAAATTTCTCATTATAAGAAATTTACACGTGCAACCTAGGAAAGAAGTCAAATGTAGCTTGTATTGTGATTGAGGCAACTCCAGATATCTTTTTCATTTACGAGGAATAATTCAGTTTATGTCATTGGAGTACCTTCCTCTGTGGAACATAAATAAACTCTGTAAGAAGCAAGCTGGCCCCCAAATAACTTTAGACAGATTCCCAGGTTGCCCATTTGAGGGCGTGAAATAACGGGTACACATCCTTACATGCACAAAGCCAACTTTTGTTACTAGACCCCCCTCCCTGCCACATACATGTAGAGATATACTGGTGCAACTAAACAGTTGTGAATGCAAACAGAATCTTAGCATTGGAAGTAAACAAAGAGTAACAGATAAAAATGAATATAGAAGTAACACAAGTTACTTGTTGGAGGTGCAAACAAATCAAAGCTAGTTTCTGAAACGTGACTCTTAATTTTAGGAACACAAAAACATTAGGAACCTGAACACACTTAGCAGAAACTGAGAACCAAATCTGCCAGCAGAGTTCAGTTTTGGTGGCTATCAGTGGGTGGGTAAGCTGCTTCTCCCTTCAAAATACAATAGATAAATCTCCCTTGACCTTCAGAAGTCCTTATTAAACCCTAGAAACAATTCCATAAAATGCCCACCCTAGTGATGTACATTCCTCCTGTGAATTGTCTCAGCCTCATTCAAAATGTGAAATTAGGATTTGGATGGAGATAGGTATTTCAAGAAGAGTGCCACGAATAACTAGGAGCCATTTCCCCCATGAAATAAATTTCATGAAAATAGATTTTTTCCTATAAATGCTTCTTGTTTTTATTAAGACAATGCAGACATAAAACACACCAAATTCCTAAATTGCAGCCATACCACTTATCAGTGACCAATAAATTACTTCACTCTGTGATAGATACAAATGCTCCATTCAGGTTCAGTTACTAGAATAGTGTCAGGATATCATGCAGACAGCTTGCATAAATACACGAGGAATAACAGCATACCCTCCACAGCTTCTGTGATTGTTAGACATGAAAACTTTGTCTTATTCCAAATTTCAAAAGATGGAATAAAGAATGTTTTCATATAAAATACATTTGGAACAGTGGGATTTTTTTTCTTTAAAAAGGCACCTCATCCACCTGCAGCATATGCTCGTAATTCATCTTTTTCGTTACAAAATCAGGTAGATAGGTGTTCTTTTTCATCTGATGTGACCGATATGAACCTTTCAGTGAATTCCAATATCAAATAGTTAAACTCAAAATAATATTTTCTTGGTAAGTGTGATGTATCTTTATAATCAAAAGAAGACTTGTCAGTTAAGACTTGTCAGGTTCGTCTTTGGGAGCTAGTTTCTATTTTATCAGATAATTGAAAGTCAGTAGTTGTTCACAGTATAAAATCTCGAACCAATTACTAACACGCCTTTATTTTCTGCCCCTAATTTTGAAATGTATTCGGACTGGAGGTACGGGAAAAACATTACTGCTTATCAGCCACTTCCCTGGAAATCTGAATGCACAAAATTTCCAGATGTATAAATTCTAAGATAAATTATTTTAAAAATGAAATGAAGAGAAAAAGGCGGAGGAAGCCTACAGTTTATCTTCTGCGTGAATAGCTTTCAGTATCTTCCAGGTGGGGGCAACAGTCAGTCAGTTTTGAGAGGAGAAGAGAGAACGGGCTCTTTGAGCTCCCTGAGTCCAGTTACAGAAGATGAAATGACTTCCTGGGGGTAACCCTGTGAATAAGACAAGCACAAGCCTCGGGGAGACGGGACTTCTGGACTCCGCCGGGCTGGGAGCAGCACACACCGCCCTGCGCGCGCCGCCGCCTCTCCAGCCCGCGGAGCCGCCGCGGCCCCCGCGCGCAGGCGCGCTGCGCACCTGCCGGTGGCGCCCAGCTGCGCGCCGCTGGCCTGGGGCGCTGCCGCCCGGCTCTCCCGCGCCGTGTCCCCGGGGGAGTGGACGTCGCTCTCAGCGCCCCGGCTCACTCGCCTTCCAGGACAGCCAGGACGCGGGGCAACCCTTCTCTCACGTGGACATCTCATTCATCCTTGCTCTGGACAATCCGAGTCCTTTCACAACTGCCGCAGGCGTGCGCGCGCGCACCTGTCCCCTGAAACTCTCCAGTCGCTGCAGCCGGAAAAGCGCTTGCTCTCGGGCGGGGCGGCGGGGTGGCGGGGGAGCCCCCTCCTCTTCTCCTTCTCTTTGCAAATCCCCGGACTCGGGGAGGGACGGCCGTGCACTCCGGCGAGGACGTGGTGGGGGGCGGGGGGGGTGCGCGAAGCGGAGGTCGATCTTGCACAGTCCGGGGAGACGGGACGCCCCAGCAGCAACCCCGCCTCCTCGGTGTCCCTCTCCGACCCCGCGCGGAGGGGGCGGGGCGTGGGAGGCCTGAGACACGCGGCCCCGAGGCCCGGAGATGGTCGGGCGTCCGGGGGCCGCACGGAGCCGGAGGCCCCCTCCTCTGTGGCTGCGCGGGGCCCGAGGTGCGGGCGGAGGCCCGGCGTGAGGCCCCGCTACGTGTCGCTCCTCCGCGCGCCGCCGCCCGCCGCCGCCCGCACCCTCGGGCCGCCCCCGCCGCCCCCCGCCGAGCCCGCGGCCGCGCCCTCGGGCCGGTACTTGAGCCAGCAGATGACCCAAGTGACGACGACCGAGAAGAGGGCCAGGATGCTGGCCACCGACAGACAGATGGGCCCCACGGGCGAAGGCGACCCGGCGGCGGGGGCAGCGCCAGGGGGCGCCCCGCCGCCGGGAGGTGCCCCCCCGCCGCCGCCGCCGTAGTGGTTGACGAAGATGAGGCCGGTGAAGAGCAGCACCACCATGGAGAGGAAGGAGAAGACGACGCACACGCAGCCGGCGGTGAGCGCGGCGCGCTTGCAGTTCTGGCAGCTCTCGTAGGCGCCCGGGGCGCGCAGGCCGGCTCGGGCGCGGGGCTCGCGAGCCGCGTCCTCCGCGGGCGGCGGCGGCGGCGGGGCCGGGGCGGGCGGCGGGGCGGCGGCGGCGGCGGCGGGCGCGGCGCGGCGCGCGGGCAGCGGCGGGAGGCGGTCCTGGGGCAGCGGGTCGTGCGCGGCGCGCAGGGCCAGCGGGAAGGCCTCGGCGAGCTTGGTGTTGTTGGGCAGGCCGTGCACGCGGCTGTCGGGCAGCGGCGTGCGGTGGCGGCACACGGGGCACGCGATGGCGCCGGGCGGGCCGTGCCAGGGCGGCGGGCGCGGCGGGCGCTCAGGCGCGGCGGCGGCGGCGGCGGCGCGGAGCTGCAGCTGGCTCAGGCACTCCTGGCAGAAGGTGTGCAGGCACGCCAGCAGCTTGGGCGCGCGCCGGTCCGCGTCGAAGTAGTTGTAGCAGATTTTGCACTCGTAGTCCTCGAGCGGAGGGAGGCCCGGCACCGTCACGGCGGCGCTCCGAGCCGCCGCGTCCCCGCTGTCCCGGGCTCCCGCCGCGGCGACCCCCGCTCCGGTCGAGCTCCCCGGGCTGCTGGTTGGGCTCCGCTCGCCGCCGCCGCCGCCGCTGCCGCTCGCCGGCGCTGCCATGGCATGATCCGCCCCTCATCGGGGGCAAGGTGAGGAGCCTTCCTCCCCCTCGGTCGCCGCCTCGGCTCTCGGCGGGGAGGAGGCGCTTCTGCCAACCCCCCCCCCCACTCGGGCTGCTGTCGCCTGGCGGGGGAGGCACCGCTGGCTGGGCCGGGCGGGGGCGCAGCGGCAACCGCCTCTCCCCCCCGCCCCCCCCCCGCTGCCCCGAGGCGCGGGCGTCTCGGTCCCTCCCAGTCCGCTGGCGTCTCTCCGCAGTCACCCCCTTGAGCTTCTCAAGGCCGCTCTCCTGGCCCCGTTGGATGTCAGTTTTTGTTGGAATTGGACGTGGAGGAAGGCTGGGGGGCGGTGCGGGAACGAAATTCGGGGTGCGGCTGCTTAAGGATGTGGCGCCCTTGCACACACCCCCTCCCCCTCCCCGGCAAACAGACAAGGGGTGGTGGTGATGGTGATGGGAATCCTGGTCCTGCTTTCTCCTTCTTCCTTCCCCGCGGCCTCCTCCCGGTCATCCTTTATTCCATGTTTACTCCTCTTGGTCTGGGGCCGAGTCCCCGGAGGAGCCCCATCTCCCCCCACCAGCGAGAGCTCACCGGTGATGTAATGCGCGACCCGCGCAGGCAGGGCAAGCGGCAGCCTGGGCAGCTCCGGTTCCTGTTCTTGGTGAACATCGTGATCTCATTCCTCCGTCCAAGGACGAAAGCCAGTAATTACCCTGCCATTTATACACTTTCCACTTGTATTAGGTAGCCCTGCAGCGTTCACAGGGTGGGAGCCGAGGGCTGGCCTTTTCCTTTCGCCATTTGGAGGAAATTTTGGAGCTAAACGGTATCTGTCTTTCCCCTTGAAATATTGCTTGCTGAGATTTAAAGAGGCACGAAGACAGAGGCTCGTCGCCAGGTCTTGCTGATTTCCTGGCGCTGACCACAGGGGAGGAGGTAGCTATTTCGATGGTGCGCAGGCGTTTTCAGAGGCAGCGGGGAGATTACGGTTCTCAAACAGGTTCAGGGATATCAAAGTGTAGCTTAAACTAACCCCTGGCATCACTTACCACCTTCCTCTACTTAAACTTTTAACATGCAAATGTAGAGAGCCAGAACTTCCACGAGTGACATGGAACAGATCCTCCCGCTTTGTTAAAACTAACGGAAGCTCTCTTGGGCAGGTTAGCAAGGAGCGCTTTTTGGAAGGAGCACTCAATAGAACACAGTGGTTTGGGTGGGGGGCGTCGCAAAGGTGCTGTTCAGATATTCCTAACCAGAAAGTTCTTCCCTTTCTTCTCCAGGTTGGACCTCCCCCCTCCCAGTGAAGAGAGAACCACAGCAAGGAAGGGGAAGAGGAATGTTTCCACTTCTCCGTCTTATCTGCAGAAGTCAGTAAGAGGCTCCAGAGAAGGTTTGTGGAAAGGACAAATGAGTGGAGAATCAGCTGAAGGAAAAAGCCAGAAAGGAACCGATAAGCTACCAAAGCAGCAATGGTCTTAAACAGCTAGTAAGTTTCTATGACATTTGAAACTAAATTTACTTTCTACTCTTTGTGAATCGAATGTGATAGGTGTGTTCAGTGTCCGGGGCCTTCCGACAACTTACTAGAGGCCACTTGAGCTCCCCAGTTCCTGGTTTCAGATTTATAAACATCACTTGGGGTAATACTGTTTCTTTTCCAGATATGTTAGTTCGTGAGGGGGGCTGTGATGAGCGGGGGGCAGGGGTGCGGGATGGCAGGAGAAAGCCGGCATCGGGCCTTGGGATATCACACAGTTACGCACCCCAGCCTCTGCATGGAGGCACCAGCTTCCTGTGCTTTTCTTCCCTCCTTGAGCTGAAGGATTGCGAAGGGCCTGGAATCATGCACCTTAGATGCAGTTTTCAGCTGGGTTCTCCTCTGTAAGCCCTGATGAGCCCTGCACTGAGAAGACACATACTGCTGTTGTGGGAAGCATTTGAAAACGGGGCATGGGGGGAAAACAGGCACAGAAATAGAAGGGCGCGGGTGCATCACCCACCCAGTTCCTGGGACATGTGTGACGTCCATGCCATAAGGAGGTGGGAAAAAGACTTCTGAAAGTCCACGTGTCTTCATTTGGGCTGAACAATTGAAGATTTTGAATTTTCACTCTCTTCTGTGTTCCCAGCACTGGAAGGAAGAAGGGAGAGACGAGCGTGGGGCTGTCGCAGTGTCCCAGCCTCGGCACTATTGACATTCTGGGCTGGACAATCCACTGTTGTCACTCTCTATGCTGTCAGAGGTTTTTGTTTGTTTGTTTGTTTGTTTTGATACGAATGAGGCAGTTTATTAGCCCAGCATTTGTTCTAATGCTTCTTGTTGGCAGCTGCCACCTGTCCGGCGATTCTGTCCACATCTCTCTGTCCCTGAGGTGTCAGTTTGCGGCCCCCATCTTGGTCCATTTCCACCATTTTCAGCCCCTCTAGGGCTTCGAGGACCCTGCGGGCCACACTCTTGGAGCCTCTGCTAAAGTGGCTGGGCATGACCCCATTTCTCTGACGTCCTCCATAGATCTTGGTCATGGAGCCGACCCCAGCGCCGCCCCGGAGGTATAGGTGCCGTGCTGTGGAAGCAGCTCGTGCGTAGAACCAGTTCTCATCATAGGGAGCAAGCTCTTTATGCTTGGCCAGCTTGACAGTGTCCACCCATTCAGGGACTTACCCACTTGATGTCAGAAGCAGCCCTCACCCCAGTGGTGATGCGGGGTGGGGGTAGGACATCAACTCAGATCTGCGGCTATGTTTAGCCTGGCCTGAGGATCGCGGGTCTCCACCAACATCACAGATTTGGTTACGGGGAAACCAAAAGCAGAAACATTTTCTGGCTTTTAACTCATGCAAGCAAGAGAGCATTGGTAGACGAAGTAATCAGTTAGCAGCTCCCCACATTTCTTGTACAGTCCACGGCCTCGTAGACACTGTGACACCCTCATTGAGAGGTCCAGGGACAGCTTTCATCCATAATACATTCTTCTATGGGATCACAAACCATTGCCAGAATTCGGTTAACAGTGCTGGAGTTTACTGTCTGAAAATCTGGATAGCTTTTTAAAAGGACCCAACATCTCCAATTATTTACAGCCCAGGGCCTGTCACTCATTATTTAGGACTCATAAAGGTGTTGCATGGGAGCCTCCGTTGGTTTAGTGAGGGACTGTGACATTCCTGAAGACTGTGAGTTTGAGGGCTGCAGGCATATGCCCTAATGAGCTCTACGGGCCAGTGTGCACAGTCACCTGCAGCAGTTAAGGAGTGAAGCCTGGTCATTCATGCAGGCATTAGGCTTTCCTCGTGGCGAAAACTGTGTTGAAAGGGATCTTAAGTCAGAAATGAAGAACATAATATTCACATCCGGGTTTGCCTTGGCTTTGCTCGTGAATCCTGCTCATGCCTTGAATAATTAGCTAATCAGTATTGGCTGACTTGTGTTCTTTTTGAAGACCTGAGTAAATGAGAGACACCAATAGTCTTGGGTAATCTCTTATATATATTCCCACCATTAAGTATCCAAATAGAATGTTTTAGTTTTAGGATTCATTGTCCTGAGTCCGGATGCTCTGTGTTGCATTAGATATCCTAGTTTGCTTCTCTGTGCCTCAGTTTTCCAAACTGTAAATGGGGATGAGTAGTTACATAAGTCTGTTGTGAAGACTGAATGTCTTATGCACATAACACCCAAAGAGCCCCCGACCCTGTTAACACTCGTTATAGTTTCCATCAGGGGTTTCTTTTCCTGATCTCAACAATCCTCACGAATGCCCTGTGAGGGAAGCCCAGAAGGCTCGTGTAACCAACCCAAGGTGATAAGCCAGTAATGACAGAGTGGTCCTAACCCAAGTCTCCCACACAGGGAGAGACTCAGTCAGAAAGACAAGGAGGAGCAACCCTGACCTGGGAATCTAACCACGTATTATCGATCCATTCACGGTAATAAATAAAGCCCTGTATAAAATCTGAGGACAAAGTGAAATCTCTCATTGGTAATATTGGAAGAATAGATGTACAGGCAGATAATTCCACTCAGAAGCAAGTAGTAAATGCGTCCATCAAAGAGTTGAAACTTTAAAATAGAAACTGGATTGATTCAATTAGGCGTGTACTGAGGTCCTCTTCTGGCAGGCATGATTGCGACGTGATAGGGTACCTGGCCTCCAGAAACTAAGGATATTAAATATGTGTGCAAAACCCAGAGGCAGAATGAGGCAGGTTTGTGGTCCAGGGAGGAGGTCTGGTGGGAATAAAGACAAGAGAGAAGTTTTTGCTACTCTAGGGATGTAAGAAAGTTCCATAGACTCATGGCCAGTGAATTGCAGAGGGATTAGAAAAATGCAGAGAGAAAGACATTCATGGAGAGAGGGGAAGGCACAGAATCCGAAGCAGGTTCCAGGCCCTGAGCTGTAAGCACAGGGCCTGACACAGGGCTCCAACTCACGAACCGTGAGATCATGACCTGAGCCAAAGTCGGACGCTTAACCAACTGAGCCACCCAGGCGCTCTTGCAAAGATAAAACTTTTAGAAGAATTAATGTATTCCATTTATGGTGATAAGTTTCCTCCCATGTGTAGAGAGAGACAGGATGGTCTAGGGGTTAAGAACAAGTTCTGGGGCGCCTGGGTGGCTTAGTCGGTTAAGCGTCCGACTTTCGCTTAGGTCATGATCTCGCGGTTCGTGGGTTCGGGCCCCGCGTCGGGCTCTGTGCTGACTGCCAGCTCAGAGCCTGGAGCCTGTTTCGGTCTGTGACTCCCTCTCTCTCTGACCCTCCCCTGCTCATGCTGTCTCTCTCTCTCCTAGAAATAAATAAAAACATTAAAAAAAAAAAAAAAAAAGAACAAGTTCTCCGCTGCCAGCACTTACGAGCTGTATAGCCCTAAAAAAGTCACTTTAGCTTTCTGTGCCTCAGTTTTCTCTCCTGTAAAATGAGACAGTAGTATCCACTTCATAGGGTTGTTGCGGGGTCAAAATGAGTTAATGTTTTTTCAGCTTCAAACAGTGCCTGGTACTGGTAAGTGCCATAAACATGTTAAGAAGCTACCTAGCCAGGCCCAAACTTCACTGATTCCCCCAAAAAGGTGCGTATTCTAGGTAAATTGTCATTTCTTTTTTGGTAAATAAACTTAATTCAGAATAAAAACGATCTTGACCAGGTGATCCAAGTTAACATCAACAGTGATAAGTCAAGTTAATCACATGTGCCCTGGATATGATGTGTTGAGAACGGCACTTTCTGTGATATTCCTCTCAAAAACCTCTCCATAACCCCAGTTTAATCACAGGAAAACATCAGATAAATCCCAGTAGAAGGCTTTGCTACTGAGTACCTGACCAAGACCCCTCAGAACTGTCAAGGTCATCAAAAACAGGGAAAGTCTGAGAATGTGTCACAGCCAAAAGGAGCCCAAGGCGTTAGGACAGCTAAATGTGATGGCATCTCCTGGATGGGATACTGAAACAACAAAGACATTAGACAAAAACTAAGAAGATCTGAATAAAGCGTGGACTTCAATGTCATCATAGATCAAGATTGGTTCCTTAGATACGATAAACGTGGCCTATTCGCATGAGATGTGAATAACAGGGGAAAGGAGTATGGAGAAAATGGGAACTCTCTGTGCTAGCTTCCCCATTTTTCTGTGAATCTGAAGCTATTCTGAGATAAAAAGTGTATTATTATTATTTGTTAATGTGGTCAATTCATGGGAATTTGTAATCACAAGGCCACTAACATTTTTTGGGATTAAGACACATCTGCTAACTGTGCATTTCTATCACTTCCAGTAAAATCCAATAAGCAAGATTTGCAAAACCTTCCCAAAAAATATTTGATTTAGTATTTACTGCCTGAGAGCCTCTTAATACTTTTTACAATGTGCAGTTAACAGTAATTCTTTAAAATATATAGAAATTGTTCAACCACTTTGAAGAAAATTTAGGAAGGATAATTTTATTATTTTTTAAAACATATATATATATATATATATTTTTTTTTTAAAGTAGTCTCTACATCCAATGCGGGGCTTGAACTTACAACACTGAGATCAAGAGTCACGTGCTCCACTGACTGAGGCCAGGCGCCAGCCAGGCACCTCAGGCAATTACAATCTTCATCATATATAGATAGCCTTTGCTGTATTTTGGATGAATTCTGTAAGACTGCTTCTCAGAAGTGGAATTTTTGTAGGCCATTGTCCTCAAAAAATGCAATTTACAAAATTTATTGACTGGATGACTTTACTTTATATTAAGCATTAATTATCCTTTGACAATTTGAGTTGTTATTTAGCAACACATTTTGTCTTCCAAGAAAATGCTTTTGTTCTGTTAGTATTTGTATTTATGAAGAAAGAGGTTTTTGTTTTTCAAAAAGAATATTATTTTCTCTTCAAGAACTTCATTGTAAGTATTAAAACCATTTCTTTTCCCATTGCTTGTTTTACTTTTGTTTCAGCAAGATATGGGTAAGAAGAAAGAATAGCCAGGTAGATTTT